GATGAAGTTTCTCTCTCTCTCTCTCTCTCTCTCTCTCTCTCTCTCTCTCTCTCTCTCTCTTTTTTCCTCCCTCCCTCCCTCCCTCCCTTGTTTATTCAAAACCAAATCTTTCTTTATCAGATAAGGTGTTTGCACCTAAATCACACAATCATCCCCCCGCCCCCCCACACACACTGTAAATGCATTTTTCCTTTTATAATCAGATCTCCCTGGTGACTATATTTTAAGTTGTGGAACCTAAATCAAAAACTTCAAAACCCTATGTCTCCCTACTGCAAAATGAGACCCTTTTGAAGCTGTAACACAAATTCTGCACTTCAAACCTCCGTTTGTGACAAGATATCTGGTTCTCCATGCCTTTTCTACATATCCTAAATAAACTGGACATAAATCAGTAACAGCCCTCCTGTCAAAAATTCAAATGGAAAGACTTTCCCATGCCTTTAGAGGATTCAGGTGAAATACATATAAATCAAAAGATTACTGGAAGCCTAAAGACTACAATAATGTTATGTATCTCAATTTGAATTATTAGCTATGTCAGGCAAAATTATCTCTTTTAAAGGTCTGATCTTTGACAAATGCTTGTAACTTCCCTAATTGCAGGAAATATTTGAATAGCAGAATGCCTACTACTCGTGTACTCCAGTTCAATCTTAGATGATCCTTGCACAACATTTTTCAAATTAATATGGAAATCAAGCAATGGTTATTAATTTCTAACTTTAAGTATAGAATTAAAATGAATGTACAATATGAAAACTAAAGGAAAGCAAATAAATTGCTATTTTTTAATTTAGGAAAGATACTTTCCTCAATTCCCCCAATTCTACTGTGATTATGCCTGTAAGGTGGGCAAATCACAGAATCCACAATTGTAATTCACAGAAGTCCTGATTGATATAATCATAGGATGATAACTTTAAGAATGCTAATGTATACTAATTTTCCAATGATAGGTATTGTTTTAGCCTAGTTCCAAAAAGCTTTTCCATGCATTTTAGTACATTTTGAATTCTGGTTTCATATGCCATTAAGATAATAGTTAGCAGGTCCTTCCTCCATCATTTACCATCACTTCTTCCTGCTCCTGGGTTATTCAGTTCCTCAAACGCCCTTCTTCAGTTCTCTGTCTCAAAATCTAAAGAAATGTTTTCTTCTTAATTCAAAAAATGTATATTTCATAATGTTTTAAAATCTCACCCTTAAAATTTAAATCTAATGGGAAAACACAGAAATTGTGCCTTAGATGAAACCCTGATGCCTAGCAGACGTTAGTAATTTTTAAGTAAGAATCATCTTCTAACCTTTGTAACCTACCTCTAAAAAGGATGTATACTATTTGTTGCAAAATATTTGATAAGAAATGATTCTCTGACACTCCTCCCCTGCAGCATTCGTTATACATTTTAGCATAATAAATGCCATCTAAGACTCACATAACCAACTTTAGATTTATGGGAGCACATATATTTATTTTATACCACCATTTTCCTTCAATATACACATATTTCATTGCTGCTGTGAGCACGTTTACAGAATCTTTTCACAACTAGCTTTGACCAACAACTTTCCAAAATGCAGCTCCACACAGAACTACTTCAAAGAGTGAAAACTTGCTAAGAAACAAGCAATGATAGCTATACACATCTTCAAGAGAAAAATCCTCTAATATTGCATTAAACTCCACATCTGCCTGAATAGGGTTTAAGCACAAATTGCAAATTTGAAATTCTACAGTCAGAAGATGTAGACCATGCCTCTTGATTTGCTCTGATCTGGTAGAGTACAGCTCCTCTCTCCACAACTTACAAAGCTCCTTACACCTCTCCTTTCAAAGTCACTGTTGTTGTCTATGCTAAGCACTGGGCATGTTGGCAGTGAGAGTAAAAGTCCACCAAGTGTGATGTTGTAAATCACAAAGAAGTCTTTTCTCTCAGTTTCCCTATAAAATTGAACAACTGAGTCATCAAAGAGCCTGCTTTCAACACTGAAAGACTCCTGAGAGGATTCCACTTCAGTCAACACTTTAGATATCACTTCACAACTCAGTGGGGATTAATTGAAAGCTTGCTAGGAGCAGAACACAGCAGGGATAATACAGAAGAGTATTAGGTGGGAGCTAAGATATGAGAGCGACAGTTAGGAACCTTACAAATCAAGGTGGGTGGGTACCTAGGGGAATACTTCAATAAAGGCTTCCCAGTTTTATTAAGAGCCATTCTAGGAAAGTGGAAAGTTGGAAGAACGAAAAAAAAAATGGAGTGTGGTATGTAGGAGGGCTGGGTCTATAAAACTAAGTTGGGAGCACTGGAACTTGATTTTTATGTTGCTGGTCATCCTTCACAAAAGCACCTAGGAAGACACAGGTTTTCAGATTCCCAGTCTCCTTTTTGTCACTTCATATAAAATCATATATATAATTATATACATATATTATAAAAATTCATTACTAAGGTCACTGTTAGGTTGGACTTTACTTCTAAATTTTGTTATTATTTTATTTTTCTACTGCATATTTATTTAATCAATCCAAAACTGTTATTGAATATGTGCAAGACATTTTGGTAACTTTTTTACTCTTTAGTCCATCTCTAACTCTTCTGATTTCCCAGAATTCTACCAAGACAAATCTAACCTTAAAGATGACAGGGGGGTCTTTGAAGAACTTAATAGGACTCCATTTCTAGCTCATTTCTATAAATGCACATATACACACACATGATCTTTCATAATTAATTTCTGTTTCACCTACTGTTAATATATGCTTGTATCACAAGGGTAGATAAGAAAGGTCCACCATATTGTACCTCTTCCCTGTGCCAGGCACAGAGCCAGTTCTGTCCTTGATGTACATGACGTCTTTTAGTCTTCACTACTTGTCCCAGATCTCATAACTAGTTTATATAAATGAGTGATTTTGAGCCTTATGTTAATCAGCTTTTGTCACTGTGACCACAATACCTGACAAGAGCAACTTAGAGGAGAAAAGTTTGTTTTGGACTCACAGTTCAAGATATCCAGTACATGGTTAGCCAACTCCACTGTTTTGGGACCAAGGTGAACTAGAACATCATAGCAGAAGGTGTAGCAGAGGAAAGCTGTCCCCTCACAGCAGCTGGGAAACACAGAGTACGTGGACTCTGGGATAACACAAAATCCTTAAAGGCAAAAGTCCAGTGACTTACTTTCTTCACCCATACACCAGCTGCTGACAGTAACTATGCAGAAATTCATTCAGATTTATTCAAATTATTAATCTACCATAAGGATTAATCCAGTGGTGAAGTTACAGCTCATAATCTAACCATTTCACCTCTGAACAATCCTGCATTGAGTAACATGAATTTGGCGGGGGGGGGGGGATACCTCAAATCCCAATCAGAACAAGAGTTTACAAAGTTCTTGAGAATGATCTTCCTACATTTGAAAATGATCTTACTACACTACTTCTAGAGTTTTCTAAGTAGAAACATCTCTGTATCATCATTTGTTTACCACCTTCAGTTCTGCTGTCTCCATATTATTCCTTTCCTACCAGTTGCACATTAATTTAACTCATGTCTATTTCATTTAGAAAAAGAAATGGTTAATTAAAGGTGAGAAGACATAAATCATGTATATTAGTAATAAATATTAAACTATGGTGGAAGTCACTATTTCCATACTAGGCACCTTAGCAGCTACCTGTCGAAAATGATGACCTTGTCTATTTGACCCTGAGTTTCAGCAGCAGCAAGACAGGAACCTAAGAAAGCAATCTAACTGGTTGGCTGTAAAGGAAATTTACCAATCCTCACTCCCTCTCCTTATGCAAAAATATTTAGCAAACAAAAATTTGTTTTCCCATTTCAGCTAGCTAGAGATGGACATTAGGGGACTTCCAGAGTGTCTGACATTACCAGTATAGATGGGTTAATGATAAACTATCCTAAAGACACAAGCATGGCCATTTCTGGAATATTTCATTATAAAGTTGGAGAACAATAACTGACCTGTAAACATAAACCACATGAATTGGAACCTTATATCAAATCCATATATGACCTTAATTAAGCATATGAAAAAGGAGGATAAAACAAAAACCTAGATATTGGGAATTCAGGACTCAATAGATTAAGACCCATTGATAGCATCATAAAAGCATGTCAGGAAGAAGTCTTTTCTGTCCTTATTTTGGAAATTTATTTACAGAAACCATGTAAATCTTACAAGTCATTTTTACTCAACTTAATAGAAAGTTGTGGTAATTATTATGATTTGCATTGAGTGACTTAAAAATTTAAAAAAATTAAAAGAACAGAATGGAATTGCTAGAACAGAAGGTTAACAGACTTTTGTTGTTATTTTTTGTTTTTAGAGGTGACCCTGCTTAAGGAAACTCATCATATATTAAAACCTTAATTTGACAAACAAG